GATAATAGGTTATTTCAACATTTTCAGATCGTTGTCGGCGAACGTATCTTTTTAATGTCATAACATTTATTTGATAACGACTTGCCGTTCCCTTGAGAGACGTTCCGTTATTAATAACGTCTAATACAGCTTCTTTTAACTTCTGGCTGTCGACTGGTGTTCTTTTCTTTGCTCCTTCCCTCCCTTTGTATTGACGTGGCATATCTATAAAATAAAAAACACTCATCTATAAGGAGTTTCTGGGAGACTTGATCCCGGGATCACATCTCCCAGATAAGATGTAATCAAGTCTCCCCCAAGACGCCATTTGAATATTTTTGTCTATAAAAATATGACGACATACTAGAACTCATTGCAAAATGTGCAAAACGTAAACTGAATGATTATAGTGTTAAATAAAAATTATACGAAAAACTCACCTTAACGAATATTAAAGAAAATCAACTTGAAATAATTCTGAAAACACTTCTCGGTAGGGACAAAAAACTTGTAATAAACACGTGCTCTTCGTTGTGGATTCTAATACAAACTAAATTAAATGGGATCTTCAGACATACTAACAGCTACGCTTTGTTGCCGGTTTTATAATTTAAGGATACTTATTTACTGAAATTTTAAAGAGTGATCAAGTCTCCCATATGATCAAGTCTCCCTCTTCTCCCCTATTCCTGAAGATTTTTTATTAGCATTGCTTCTGCTACTGCAACTACATTGAGAACAAGAAACTATTATTATGCACTATCACAATATATTATTACAGTTTCTATAAAAGTATTATAAAACTTAAAATATTCGAAAAACAACAAACGTAAATAAACTTATACGATCTGTCAAAAGTGTCAAAACAATATTAACAATAGTATTAACAATATGGCCGAAGTGAGGACGTTTTTTTTAGTCACGTGATGCCCTCTCCACAGATTCTAACTCAATGTTACCGAGTGTCACCTGCAAGCTGTAGCGTTTACGCTACTGATTAACCCCTCAAGAAATTTCTTATGATCCGCCAGCGGTCGATTTTTAAATCGACATTTCTCCACTCACGCGCTGGGAGCGCTTTGAAAGGATTGATCGATTTTGTGCTGAAGCAAAGCAGTCAGTTTGGTCAAGAAACTCGTATTACGCAGCCACGTCAGTCAATTCAAAGTGACGGAATTGGAGCAGTAAAATAATCTGGGACGAATAAAATAATATCTAATTCAATAATCATATCTCAGTAATAAAATTAATAATAAGTAAATTTTTAAAATCAAGTTTCATTTATAAGAGTTCCACATAAAAAGGAAGATTTTTTTTGGCGTGCTGCGGCTCCATGTAAGTAAATAATTTCATACGTATTATCTCTTTATCATACAATCAAATTTATCATTGCAGTTTAGTATTTCTTTAGAGATTTATTTTTGAGTTCCGAAATAATTTAAATATAAAATTTCCTTGATTTACTTGCAAAGAACAGAAGGTCATTTTTTTATATAGTTAAACTTAAATTCTGTTTTAGTCCATGTCGTTATCATTAAGTTTTTTTTGGTTCCCTTTTTATCTAACTTTTTTTGGTGGAATATAAAAAGGTTCGACAAATATTGGACAGCCTTCTGTATTCTGCGCATGTTCATTTCATGGCGCAAGCCTGTCATGTCTACGAAGTAACTTCGGAAATTTTGACATGTTGACCTAATGTCACTAATGTTTTGATGTTTTGTTTTGGTGCAGTCAATCCACGCTGCTACAGCTATTGAATTGCATTTATTAAATTACATAACTCTTTTAGATTCCGTCACTTGAAAATATTCCCTCGAGGATATTAGTTAGTAATTTTGAATCCTTAGATAGTTAGCAACTTGCGTATGTAACCCGTGGATTTTGCTGTCACCCGGAACCATGGGACTTGTCACCACAACCATGAATTAATTTAGCCGTGCCAAGAGGAGTTTTCCTATGGACTTATAGTGTTGCTAAGATAAGTTGTTTAACTATTTGACTTTTTGTGTTACTTTCTATTTACTGTTAACTTTTCATATGCATATGATAAGGTGAATACAATTTTGATAATCAAATTCTAAGATATTGGGGAGGGAAAATACATTACATGTTTTTATTAGGTTTTTAAATGGGATACAGAGTCTGACCAAACTCACTTGTTGATTTAATATATATTTTTTTAATAGAATACATTTTTGATATAATACAATTTTGATATTGGGAAGGGAAATAAATTTCATGTGGTTTTTTAAAACATTATGTAAGGAATATGTAACAACTCACTTTTTATCTATAATATTTAACCCCCTCTGTGGCTCAGTGGTAAGAGCGCCTGCCTTTAAATCTAAAGGTCGTGAGTTCGAATCCCACCTGGGTGGAAATTTTCGTTTATTAAAAAAATTAATAAATGAAAATAATTTCTATCCTTGTGTGATCGGTACACACCGGAGGGACCGCAGACGTTCGGATACAATTAGCGTCTCTTAGCAAAGACAATGACGTCGACTTTGCTAAGTATCAAGACAATTACTCTACACACACACACACACACACACCACACACACACACACACACACACACACACACACACACACACACACACACTACACCTCAAATTGTAAGATTGGCGAATGGATTTAGTGTCCGCAGTCATTTAAACACAAACAAAAACAAAAAAAAATCTATAATATAAATGGTACTAGATTTATCAAGTTTGATATCTATACAATATTGTAATTTGTATCTCATTTTAGTCAAACTAGTTAAATTTAAATTACTACCTTTTTGTGTTAAGACCTTGGCTACCATACGGACTATTCTTGGTGTTACTAATATTTTAAACTTTATTTGGCCAGTGTTAGTGATTATTCGCTTGTTGAGGGGCTATTAAGTCCTATTGTATATTTACACCATCCACTACCACTGTTATTTAGTTTTGCATTATATGTAAATTTTTAATACATATATATCGATATACACATTTTTATAAATATATTTATTGTTACTATTTTGAGTTTTATTTCAGTTCTACTAACCAGTATATAATAGAGCAAAACAAGATTAGTATTTAGTATTTTGAATTTCAGGTTATTATCTCCAGAATCATTTGTTTCCAATCATTTGTTACTTCAAAATCTCAACTATCGTTGAGTTGGCGCCCTTCTTTTCCCTTCTTATTGTTCTCTTTCTATAAATTTATTCCCAGTGACCTTCTTTAGTTGTATCACGTTTGATATTACCAGGTCTCATTTCGTTTCTTATCTCATTAGCTCAGTATCCTTACTATCTCTTTATATCTTTAAAGCCACAATCCAGTGCATTCAAGCTAGCCCGAACACTCACTTGAGATTTAGTGTCTCTTTGGCCATTTAAATTTGTTCCTCTGAGCTTAGCCATATTTTAGTATTTTTCATTACTTCTCTTCCAGTTCTTCTGGAATTTGGAAGTCTTACACTTCCTAAAATCCAATACTCCCGGAGTATTGAGGTTTCAAAGCACGATGTGAGATATTCATCGATTGCAATATTTTTATTTGCTTAACTATTTTCATTTCAGAAAATTCAGATTCGCTCAAATGTGTTAACTAAAGAGCTATTTATTTTAAATTTGGATATTTGTCTTCGGATATAAAAGACCAAAAGTTAGTATCAGATGCTCTGGATGTATATCTGAAATTACCTTCATTTTGGACAAAAATGATCTCCATAATGAAAGGGTTTCATATTTAAACAGCACATTTTTTCAACATATTCACACGGAAAAGGATAAGCTAAGTAAGTTATGATTTTCGTCAGTTTTATTAAATCAGAGAAGCGTCTGTCAAATTTTGAATGTTTCTCAGCAGTGTGTTGTAATAATAATACAGGAAAGTAACCAAATATGGAATTGTATCCTAATAGTATAGAATACCCTGATTTCTCTGAAAATATAAGTTTGATGCTTAATTTTTCTTTTTGCTTGATGTACGCAATACACGACCATCTTTTATTTCACTCGCTCTCTTTACTATCGCACTTACCCCTTCGTGTCAGTTGAACGAACAATACTCATGTGACAGGAGTGCTCTGTTTGTCGCATCCGTCACATGAATATTGTGTGAGAGTGAACCGTCGCGTCATAAAGATAAACTTTTAATACGAAAACCAACTGGTATATCTTTTGCCAGAGCATTTGGATTTTATAAGGAAAAAGTGGACGCTATTTTGAACCCAGTACCTTCTACTCGATTACATATAAGTACAGGCAAAATAACAACAATAATAGTCAAATGCATAAAAAAGAAAGGAATATCACCAGCTTTTAGAACAAACAACAACTTAGGCAAATATATTAAAAACAACGAGAGCCAAAATAAAAAGCACTTACACAGTGGTGTATACAAACTTAAATGTGGTGACTGCCAAAATCTTACATCGGTCAAACTATTAGAACTTTTAAGAAATGTATAGCAGAACATAAAAGGGCTTTCAATAATAGAAAAACAGATTCTACATACGCACTTCACCTTCTAGATCATAATAATTATTTTAAGGACGAGTTTCAAATTCTTCACATCCAAAATAAAGGCCTTAAGCTATCTTTATAAGAATCTGTAGAAATAAACAAATTAAAAACACAAACATAATTCTGAATGACCTTCTTGAGACAAACAGTTTTCCCCTCCTCAAACTATTTCGTACAAGACTATAAAGTGTAGACATAGTGTAACTTCCATGACGAAGCAGTATAGGCACTCTGATTTAATACCTTGAGTTTGTTTTTAATCCGACGTCGGCCGACGTCGCCAGATATCGGATCGGGAGAAATACGGTTCCAATGTAGGTGTACACTTAATCAAAGCACTTTCGGTCTGGTGTTTCCGTATGCTATAATTCCAGTACCAACAAAACGAAGAAAAGTATCTAAAAATGTGTTGAGTCATGTGGACTTTATTGCGGCGCAACAAAATGCTGTAAGAAACGGTTGAACAACTAACATCATTACACTGGAACCAAGATCTGAACCTGGTCATGCCCTTACAGAAATACCTGTACCAGAAACAAGTGCTAATGTACAACCGGACGCTGTACCTTCGACGTCAGGGATTAATCGGAGCACTCTAGGTCTGATTTCTCCGTATGCTATAAGTGCAGTACCAGTTAAACGCAAAAAGTATCTTAGAGAAAGAAAAGCTACCGTAGCAGCTGTCATAACATCTTCACCCTACAAGAAAAATTTGAAGAGACAAGAAAAAGAAAATAAATTAGCGAAGACAGAGAATAAAAAAAACTGCGAAGGAAACAAACGAACAAAGAAAAATAAAACTGATTCTGAAGAAAAAGACTCTGAGGAACAGGACGTTATCCAGTTTGATGCAGACAGTGAGGCTGATGAGCTGCTGATGTTCAATGTATGTTTTGCCAAAAACTTTTTCCATGGATAACAGTGAAGAAAACTGGATTAAGTGCTTAATATGTGAGCTCTGGGCTTATTATGATTGTGCTGGTCCAGAGTTTGATAAATGGATCTGTGACTTCTTCAAGTGAATTAGACTACTTCTTTAATTTTTCACAATTTTCTTTAAATTTCTTTGAATCTCATAGATGTTTATGTCTACTTTTGTTATTGATATGTTGGTTTATGATTATATTCTATGTATGGCTACCTATTTCATATTTGATTTATGACTATATACTAATTTATGATTTTGTTTTTTGTGTTCGATTTAATTTTTTTCTTCTTTTTCTTCATCCGCTTTATAAGCAATTCTGCTTGTTGACTGGCGGATTAATACCTCTATGAAAGGTTGTCACTCCATCTTTAGTGCGGTCGTCTGATATTTCTTCTGCTGATTGGTGACTTATTATCTCTTGCTATGTTGACGATACGGGTCTCTCCGATTCTACTTATCTGGTTATTCCATTTTTTTTCTATTTTGTGTTCATTCATTTATACACTGTACGTTACATTTTCTTCCAATGTCTTCACTTCTCTTTCGATCTCTCAGCGAATTTCCTGTACCTAATTCTTCTCCGTACTCTCATCTCTGCCTTTTCCAGTAGCCTTTGCGTTGTGGCTGTGTCTGTTAATGTTAATTTAATTTTTTTAATTAAGATATTTGATAGAAGGCTGTTCATTACTACATAAAAATATATGATTGATCTGTAAAAACATTAAACTGTTTTCATTTCTATTAAAGTGTTAAATACAAAATGGTATTCCAAAATTTGAGTAGGAATTAACCCTAGCTTTCAAAGCTGGAATAAATTGTTTCAGCTTTTTTTTCAAAAAAATCCTTTTTGTTAAATGCAAATAGCTTAATTTTGTTAATAAAACAATTTATGGCGCTAATCATGTTAATAATAGCTTTATTTTTGCCTTGCTGCTTCAGATTAAGAATATTCAAATAATTCGTCACATCCGATAAAAAAGCTAAAACAAGGGGTCATTTTTCGTTTTTAAATATGTAAGTATCGTCATAATTTTATAAATTTTATGACCAGGTCTTTAATTTGGATTATATAAATCATCTTAGATGAATTCTCTATTTTTTTTTAATCCTGAGTGCCCTAATTAGCGTCTTATAAAAGTACTTGGGTAATATCATACAATATAATTTGCCAGTGGAATGTGTTTTATTAAATTAAAAATTAACAAAGCTTTTGCATACATAACATAACTATACATTTACATATATATTATTTACTTACTATTCTAAAAATATTAATACTGTACGGTATTTTGATATAGATAAAACAAGTTAATGTAGATATTTTATTTATATGGTATTAAACCACAATTTTAATAATTGTAATAAAAATTACATTTTATGTTTTTTTTTGACGTTTGATTTCCACTCCGGAAATCGTTTCAAAAAAGAATATTTAAGATATTTTTAGAATATTCTTTCTTGAGAAGAATTTCCAGAGTGAAAATCGAAACGTCAAAAATAAACGTAAAATGTAATATTTATTAGAGAACCTTTTTTAACAAAAAAATCGTAGAATGCCGTGGAAATTTGAATATACATTTTAAATTATGTACTGAAGTAGACCTTTATATCCCATTACATGACATTAAAAAAAAGGTTAAAATCGGTAAACAACTTGAAATTTTATAAAGATGTTTCCAATCTAAACGGGTCACATTATATTTCACCATACCACAGGTAATGAGCACATATGTCATCTTTCTTCCCCCTCGATTTTTTCTTATTCCATATCAATTGCGTGTTTTCTTATTTTCTTCTACAACCATATTTTTCTGTTCTATATACCGAGTGTCCCCGAAAATAGTGCGTTCCTTTAAGGTATGGATATAATACACAATTTAGAACAAAAAGTATTATATCTTTTTAAGTTAACCGTTTCCAAAAAAAAAATTACATTGTTTTCCATATACGTGAATTTTTATTTTCAGAAAATCAAATAATCTGACAACGTCGTACGCAGTGAAAGCACTTCTGAATAAGAACTCGTTTATGACTTTCGGGTATTTAATATAATGCAATCTTTGTACTCATTTATTTGCTATTATTTCAAGGTCGTTGACATCTTAGGAAATGTACCTAATACCTGCAAAATAGTTATTTCTTGCTTTAATAATGTGGCATTTGCTATTACCTAATTCAACTAAGATTTTGGATTAAAGCTCAAAGTTTTAAATAAGTTTTTATTTTTCTTAAGTAAGTACTATGGTTTAATTCCTAAATATTAATTATTGCAACTAATAAAAAATAAAAAGGAAAAGACAGTTAAGATTTAATTTCACGTATAGTGCGTCTGTGTATCCGCTTATACGTATTTCGGCCAGCGTTACCAGACCTAGGGAATTTTTCCTATACCTAGGGAATTTTGAGCCAGCTTAGGGAAAAAGGGATTTTTATTCAATTCTATGAAAAATCTAGGGAATTCAAAATATTTGTAAGAGTATTTTAAAAAATCAGTTTTATTTAATAAACTTTCCAGAATTGTACATATTATATTATCTACTTGGAAATCATACTATTCGTGGAATCACTAAATTCTGTTTATGTGATTTCCCGTCGGAAACTAGAGTGGTGAAATTTCACGAACTGCGAATTACGTCGGGGATCTACCTGGGCTAAAGTATGTATTGGCGTCGCCCATCGGGTGATTTTTGGTTTCTAGTTTGTCTTTCTCTAACTGTTTATGTCATTCCCCGTCGATGGCTAGAGTGGTGGTATTTCACAAAGGGCGAATTACGTCAGGGATTCACCTGGACTAAAATATCTTAATACTTTGATATTCTTACCTTTCTTACCATAAATACAACTATAAAATAATTGTGCAGAAGGGGCAAAAATAATTATATTAAAAACATATGTGTACAACTAGAGGAACATGCTGACCGCCAAGAACCTAGAGAACTTTTCTCAAAAGTCAAGTATCTAGCGAGAGAATTCAAACCGCAAAGATCATCAAAGATAATAGTGGAAATATCATAAAAAACCCAGACGGCCTCGCAGAGGTGTGGAAACAATATTGCGAGATACTATTTTCTAACAACGACCGAGACAATAATACAGAGAAAATAACTTATGAAAAAGAACCTCAAATATTGAAATCAGAAATTGAGGTGGCAATTAAAAAGCTAAAATCCAGAAAAGCAGAAGGAGAAGATGGAATAACAGGTGAAACACTAAAAGAAATGGGAGAATTAGGGACGGAAGTAATGCTTAGAATTTGCAATGAGATTTGGAATACCGAAAAGTAAACAAATGACTGGGGTAAACTTGCGTTTATTCCCATATATAAAAAAAGGTTTACCGACAGCTGATTGCAGTAATTACCGCACAGTAGCATTGATATCACACGCGAGCAAAGAACTTCTAACCATCATTAATGAAAGACTAAAATTAATTCCCCTACCACAAATTCCCCAAGAACAATGCGGATTCGTCCCAGGTAGAGAAACAACAGAACATATTCTTAATATTCGTCAAATTATCGAAAAATCTCGAGATTGCTTTGTTGACTATTCCAAAGCCTTCTATACCGTAAAATGTAATAAAATGTGGCATACACTTAGTGAAATGAGTACTGCAGAACATCTTATCTATTTATTACAAAAACTATAGGTAAATAATACCTGCTAATGTAAGAGTTAATAATGTGATTTCGAAAAACATCAAATTAAAATCTGGAGTTCGACAGGATGCATAATATGCTCTATTCTATTTAATGTGTATAGTGAACATATGCGTCAAGTTGTTGAGGAAAGTGGCAAAGTAAGGTGAAGCAACGATAGAAGGAAGAAAAATTAAAAACCTGCGTTATGCTGATAACACTGTTATCGTCATCACCAGAAGAACTGGAACAAATTATGAATAGGCTAGGCACGGTGAGTACGGAATATAGTTTGAAAATAAATATGCAGAAAAGCAAAGTGATGATCATCGATAGAATCAGAAACAACCAAGCAGAGATAAAAAAACATGGCAGGTTACGAAGTAGTCAGGCAATTTAATTACTTAGGCTTGTTTATTACTAACAGTGTGATCGCGACGCATCACAATGGCCAGATCGGCAACAGCTAAACTCACAAAAATTTGGAAGAACAACTATCAACCCAAATATACTGAGATATTTTGGACATATAACTAGAAGAAGAGAAGGCGTAGAGCAAATGATAGTTGAAGGTAACGTAGGGGGTAAAAGATCCAGAGGAAGATCTCCAGTACGATGGTCGGACCAAATAAAAGAGATGACTGGTTATTCATTCTCCGAAGCAAAACAACACGCACAGGAAAGAGATAATTGGACAAAAATATTTAATAAAATTACATGACGCTACTATATCCTTACGAAGGAGATAAGATTGAGGAGGATTCTTACCTCACAAATTCACGAACAACAAATAATACCAGTCGCACAGAATGAATGTTTATAACCAAAAGTCGTTATTTATTCTACAAACAATTAAAATACCAATATTTCCCACTTCTTATGTGACCAATAAACTCAAATTAGAAATGTTTGGAAAGGATTTTAAAAATCCCGCTCATTATGACGTCAGACTTAGGTGGTCCATTCTAGGCTAAACATGGTTGTCAAGTTGTTAGGGAAAATCTAGGGAAGTTTTGTCAAAAATTCTAGGGAATTAAAAAAAATCATCTGGCAACCCTGATTTCGGCCTTAGGCTTCTTCAGAACGGATTTCATAGTCGCTCTGAATGTGAAAATAAATATATTCTGTCTTAGGAAGCAACTCTAACATGGCTTCGAATGGACGCTTCGAAAATTAGTTTACGGATAATAAAAAAATATTTGTGATATTTTTTTGAAATATATTGAAATATGGCATAATTTTAAACGTATTGTTAAAATGTCAATTATTTACAATAAAAAACACTTTATCTTTATCTTAAACTGAACTAGTATTATGTAGTTATTAAGCTTTAAAGGTGTTAAATACCGAGGGT